GTCGACCTCATCCATCTCTGCACATCTTCAAGCTACTTCCAATTCCAAGACAAGTTCTACAAACAAACAACTGGGACCTCCATGGGATCTCCTATATCCCCAGTCCTAGCTAACATCTTCATGGAAGAGTTTGAAACCTCATCCCTACTCACCGCGGATCTCAAGCCCACCCTGTGGCTACGCTATGTGGACGACACTTTCGTCATATGGCCCCAGGGTCAAGACCAACTCCAGGAATTCCTCACATACCTCAACAAACAACACCCCACCATCAAGTTCACCATGGAACAAGAGCAAGACGGCCAACTCGCCTTTCTCGATGTCAACCTATCGAGAAAGAAGGACGGTACTCTCAACCATCGAGTCTACCGCAAACTTACCCACACCGACCGGTATCTACATCAGCGATCCTTTCACCATCCAGCCATCAAGACGTCCGTCAACCGCACCCTTGTTCGCAGAGCCCATGAGATCTGCAACCAGGGCAACCTCAACCAAGAACTCAAGCACATCGAGACGGCTCTCAAACTCAATGGAGATAAACACATCAACCTCTCCAAACCCACCAACAGCACCATAGGGTCTCCTATACCCGAAGTCCACCCACCTACCCCGGCGTTAGGGTCCCCTATACCTGATGCCCCCAAGTCCCCCGTTTCCACAGTATGTTTGCCTTTCCTGGGCCCCGCATCACACCAACTCCGCAGGATCCTTCAGGCAGCCGACATCCAGGTCATTCACTCAGCGCCCAACAAACTACAGAACCTACTTCATACCCACAAGGACAAACACACACCCAGCAGTCGCCCTGGTGTATACCGCATTCCCTGTGAATGTGGCCAAGTATACATCGGGGAGACCGGCAGGAACCTCCACACCAGACTTCAAGAACATCGAGCACACGGCCGCAGAAGAGACTACGAGAAATCAGCAATCATCAAACATGCACACACATCAGACCACCGCATCGAATGGGACAACGCAGAACTCATCGCCCCCACCAAGCATTGGCACCCAAGAAGAATCCGGGAGGCAATCGAAATCTTCCGGCACAACACCGTCCCACATCGGATTCAAGCTGAGCGACATCTGGCGCCCACTGCTAGCACCCAAGACCACCACCACACGGGCAGTAGGGTCCTCTATACCTGAAACCCAGGCCCCCGTCATCCCCTGGTGTTAGGGTCCTCTCTACCCGAAGCCAACCCATCCCCAGTTTCCCGTCTAAACTAGTTTCCCGCCTAATTTGCACCCCTAATCCTCCACTGGATCCAACACCTACATGCTCCAGTACACCCTTAGCAAGCCACTAAGCCACATCACGCCTCACCGACTCCAGACAACCTTTATTACACGGCATCCACTCGAGTCAGCAACACATTCTCTTGAGGACAGCCAGAGCATACTGGCCAAAACGTCAAGTTGAACACTCACCGGTTCTTCTCAGAACCACACCTTTTCCCAAAAGAGAATTTTTACATGGTGTACCAACATCTTATTTCCTACTTCTTAATACGTTGGACCTCCTGGTGGGTCAGTCAGTATGCCATCACACACGATATGACTCATCCTGTTTCATCATGTTGTGCTATAATTTCATAAGGAAAGATTGTACCAAAAGTTTTACCCCGTGCTAGGCTTTATTCCTATTTTATCCCATATATCAGGGTCAATCTGTAACAAACTGTCTTACCTTATGCCTATCCCTTACCAAAGGTCAATCTACTATAATTTTTGACCCTATCCTCATTCCTTTTCTTATCAATATTTATCATAATATTATTATACTTATGCATATTTATAGCCTTTTCCCTTTTCTGGGTCAAAGGTCAAATTGTACTAAACTGACCCCCACTACTTATTCCTGTATCAACAAAAGGAGTAAAGAAGAACCTAGACATAAGGAACAAATCCAGCAATGGGACTGAAAAAGAATTTTTAACACTAATTGACCAACTTCCACCAGATCTTGGATCATTAATGGAAGATGATTAGAGGATAAGTGTAAAGAAGAGAAAGAAAATAGTTCTCCTGGAATTGTTTGATCGACTCCAAGAAGAACTGGCAAATACGCAGGAGAAAAATGTATTACTTCAAATGCCGAGCAGTGAAAATGGGATCTTGTCTGATATAGACGATGACTTATAACCTTGTTGATTAAATTACAATGACCTTAAGTCGCTTTTTCTTCTCATAAAACACCTTCTGCCTAGCTTTTTTATCTGCCATGTGCTGTTTAGGCTTTCTTGCTGTTTTCTTGCTGTTTCACCTTTGCCATCACCCCTGTCTCGAAAACAATACATTGACAGAAACATTACATGTAATTCTGAAAACAAAATTCTCAAAAAACACAAGAAAATTACTATCACATTCTGTCTAGTCAGTAGCGATGACATTATGATGTTTAGGCTTCTGTCAGCAATTACATCATTGCCTCATAACTGGTTTCAGCTCCTTCCATCAATACTTCTGCCGCTCCTTCAATCACCAGGTCTTCTGCCCCTTTCAGTTCCAGGGCAACCGCTTGTGATATTCCCGGCATCGCCTCCTCAGTTTCTCCCACCACCGCCTCCACATTTTTTTCCACCATTGCTCCTTCTGCTGTTCCCTCCACTGCCTCTTGCGGTCACTAATGTAGCACTAATGCGGTCACATTTGTCACTCTTGTCTCTGCCCCATTTGCCAATTCCCCAGTCACGTCACTAGCTTCTGTCAATTCCAACCACACCCACCTTTGAAGTAAACTGAAAATGTGAGATACTGAAGTCATGTCCAAAGGGACGACTGGGAGGAAACGAAAATAAAGTTTTTTTTTATTAATAATCACCACATTGAATATCAACATTAATAGCAAAGTAACCTATACTGGTTTAGAAAATGTGCCTTGGTAACAGTCATATTAGACATAACGTAACCCCCTCCCCAAACTGAGAGGAAAAAAATGTAAATACGAAAAGTCAACTACCCATTTAGGAACTGCCACTATTTGGGGGATCTCTTTCTTTTGTCAAAAGGTCCACAAGAGAACGTTTTTACAGTTCTGAATGTTCTTTTACATGAATTGCAATGAAATCATATAACTGTTTAATTCCCGTGAATCCCAAATTCCCACATTAAAGGAGAAAATAAAATTAAAGAGTACCCTATGTAACTTACATTACTCTTAAATTTGAAGCATTTAAATTAACCAAAAATAGGCATAGGCCTACAAAGCTAGTCTGCTAAACCTTCGTAAGTTTATATCCTCTCCAAAATGCTATCCTTATGTTTAATAATAATATAATTAGTAGCAGCAGCAGTCTTCCTCAGGTTCCTGGCAATAACTTTAAACAAGCCACGGAACATCAAATGACCGATTTCTCAGACTAGAAGTATGATTTAATCCATCATGATTGTATCATATGCATAAGAAAGGTGTGGGTTGTCCTTATTTACAGAATTCAAGTAAATATGTGGCTCAGTGACAAGTAAAAATCAATCCTACTGGCCTTTTCAACATGTTGACTTGCAATGCAGTTGTAGTGCCGTAAAAACAAAACAGCATGTGGAAATACTACCAAGGTTATTAATAAATCATTCACGAAATAAATTCTAAATGCATGTTAATTAAACTGATACCATCATTTTAAAATGATATCAACAATGAATTTATTCTTTGACTTATATTCCATCGAAAATATCAGTGACCGTATGACTGCAATAATCTGTTTTCCATTCGGCAGAAATTAATATTTGCTGGCAGCTTTGGGTATTTGTAGCCGTACACTCGTTTTAGACATCCAGCAAATTGTCGCCGCATGTGGCACCGCGGTTTTTTTAATCGTGCAACGGAAGGAATTTCAAGCAATGCACGGAGAATAAAATCTGATCGTTACGCGGGCTTGGTGCTGCTACTCCCCGCCCTCTCCCTGCTCGCCCTCCTCTCCCTCGTTTGTGGACAGGGCCCCGATCGTCACTGCTACTACTGCTGTGGACATCGTCACTAGACGTGTCATCTGCAGGAGAAGACTCCCCACTTTCGTCAGAGGGGTCAGAACTTTCTTGACTCTCTTTCATCAGAAGTTTCTTCCAGGATGCTCATGTCTCTTTCCAACCTTCATTCTCACAAGGAGCACGATATGTGGGAACATTTTGAGACGACTGTACTTTGTATGGCCTACAAATCCTACTAATTGGTAACCTGTGTCTACGTATTATATCAATCGAGGAACGTACACCAGTGAATAGTCAGAGGCTATTGCGGAAGTTTTGTTCGAAGAATATTATCAAGATACAAGACTACTCCCCTTCAGCGTCGCTAAATTTGCACATGGTTTCACGTTTACCATGATATCTCCCTGCGCTCATTCCTTTCACTTCATCAAACTTCATAGCCCTGGAGGAGAAACAACAGTTTCTTAAAGACATCCTCGCACATTCGCACTCCCCAAGACACAAATCGATCGCCTACTGTCGTTCTCGTTCGTTTCTGATTCACACACCCTTTGAAAGTTGAAAATTGATTGAATGACTCTCAATCATTTTTTATTGTGCTGCCAAGACAGAAAGTAACTGACGTTTGCGAAGCTCTCCGCAACATAAGGCATCGAGAGAAGCAATATCAAGACTTTGTTGAATTGACAGGTGAGAGAGAGAGAGACTTAAGACTTAATCTGCGTAGAGCAGAGTTGCTACATTGGGGATCAAATTTGTTGTAATTACGTAATAAAAATAAATTCGGCCAAATGCAAAACCTCATGTTAATTTGTATCTCTGTAGATGCTGAACAGCCTATTTTAGTCACCTTTTGCATCAGAGTTCACCCCGACCCAGGCAAAGAAAAATCTGAGTCGGTCCCTGGGGGAGTGCCATAGACATGTATACAAAAAAAAACTTGCCTGCGTCCCTGGATCGGTTGTTTAAATCCACAGTGTCTGGAATCTCCAGGCCAGTGATTTACGGCTGTAAGCTACCCAGAGAAAGCTGTTGGTGTCTCTTTGATGTGTTCAGCTAGCTGCTGACTCATTTCTGGGTATAGCTATTCAGTCCTTTGACCCCCCATGGGTCTGGGGTTGTGGCTTGGCTGAAAGACATGGACTGTTTGTAGTAAAACCTGAAGCCATTGTGTTTATATCCAGCTGTTTTGCCATGACTGTTTCCTGATTCGGTTGTCCGTGGTCTATTACTGAAAGATGAAACAGCCGCACGGTGACAGCTTACTCCTTTTTTTTTCTTGACTGTTACTGAGAAATGAAACAGCTGTAGGATGAAAGCTTACTACTTTTTCCCATGCCTATTAGGGCGACACGGCCGTTTCACACTTAAAATAACACGCCCTCTGTTGGTCAAATCTAGCTAGCGCTTAAATCACATGATCACGCAGCTGCGTGCCTCATGCATTATGCATAGCGTCCTTTTGTTGCATTCGGGGATTTAAATGCCCCGCTGAAAAAGCAAAAGTTTGAGTGGTTTTTCCTAATGAATATTGAACATATGACCATATAAGGTTTTAAAAGCGCCAACGAAGCCGTGTACCAGGAACCGTCGTAATCTGTTGTGTACAGTGCCAGCATCTTGCACCTGTAATATACGGGACACCGCACTTACGGATGTATGGGATATCTCTGTGTGTCGTAATTTTCTCTGCGAAAAAAGTCACGTATTGAAGAGAAATAAAGTGGTTTTAGGATTGAATCAGTGATGTACTGACTGATTGGACATCATTCTTTGTATGATGTGAACAACAAATGTAGGCCCGCATTATTTTGTACAAATTCCGTCATCAACTGAAGGTGTAAAATTCGTTTCGAGTCGCTGACACATGCATGGCGTGTCGATCGTGCAGCACATGTGGACACTTACAGACGTGATTCTAGATGGTCAGACGGAGGACTTTGAAGGTAAATATACAAATTAAATACTTTTTATGAGCATGAGCGTCCGATTTTCCTATGCTGTATAAACATAAAGCAATGCGATTCGGATATTGAAACATGAAACAGTTGTAGCGTGGGCTTGTTTTAACGCACTGACAAACACAAGAGTTGTTTACGACTGTTGTATGAAGATTTTACCCGAACTCGTCACATGCGGTACATACATTTGCAAATGATGTAGTAGGCCTTTGATGTACAATGACTGTTCCTCTAATTTTGTACCGTGAAACTTGGCTTTAATTTTCGAAGGAAACATAAAGAGTACTTTATTACCTTTTACGCATTTATCTGTGTTTATTCATATACAAGACAAATGTACATTTTCAATGAAATTTTGTGACCTTTTAATTTATACTCTTGGGCTGTCATGGCTGCCAGGATAAGAAGTGAAATTGCAGTTCTGCAGTCACGTGTTTACATGGTCAACCTATGTAGGCAGGGGTATGTTATTTTATTTAGATATGGACCATTATTTAAAAACAACAATAACCATTTCAAAAATCACGAATTTAATGTTTACCCTACTACTTGAGACTGCAAAATGAATAAAAAGATCCTGCGTTTCCCAACCCACAGAAAATCTCCTTTTGGCCGTTCGCACTCCCAGGCTGAATGGGTGACATTATCGCCAGAACACTGCATGCACAGTGTACATGTACATGCATACATACAGCACATACATGTAATACATGCGATACTGCATGTAAAGTGTGCAACCAATAAAACAAACAAAGGGAAGTATTGTGAAATCAATCCAATTACATGTATAACATGTAAATAAAGTTAACTATGACAAGGTTTGGCTCGACTTTAAGAAATGTGGTGGTCCACTCGTTTCACGTTTTAGTGCAGTGTATTGCTTTCTTATTGTGTTTTCAGGTATTGGAAGGTTCCTTCCAACTTCAGGAGTTGTGGCAACATGATGGCGGCGCATAATGGCCATGAGCTTCTGCAGTTCTCCCCTCATCCCTTGTACAACCCTCCCGGTACGGTTGAATTCTGTATGTATCAGTTCCCCCCCTTGTTCATTTAGTAACCCAAACCCCACTTTGGATCTAGTTAATTGCTCAACTGCATGATCTTCCAGCAGGTGAAGTTTCGGAGTAATTAGATCTGGGAAAAGCTGTCTGTAGGCTGCCATGAAGTCCCTTATACTTGTCTCTGTAAACAGAATTGCAAAACAATAAGGAATGTTTAATGTTTCTAAATAGTGAAAGCAGGAAATTTATGAGGTAAGAATTTCTGCATTTTTTCTGGTGAAACAACTTTGATTTGTGTACATACCAATGCAGTTTATCTGCTGTTGCGTTACTGCAGAGCTGTGGTTTATGCCCTTATGAACATCGGCAAACTTCATGAAGAGCTCCTGGAAGTGTACTCCAATGTGAGCAGCTTCACGTCGCAGTTTGTCATGTGCTGCCAAGGGGATGTCATCTGTCAGGCTTTTCTCAGCCACCTCAAGGGGAACAGCGGTGAGTGCTTTTATAACAAGGGGCTGTTCAATGGAAACAGAACCAATGGTGTTTTTCATGCAGTTACTGTGCAGTTCATGTGAGTAACATTATGCTGGCATTTGATAGCATCAAAGAACATGCTAATACATATCAAAACTTTAAGATAATCTCATATTACCTCGCAGCACTTGTGGACATGATTGCCAACGAAGGCTTTTCCATGGTAAGCTTGTCTCTGCACTCGATGTTGCTGAAGAATGGTGTCCAAAGAACTTGCAATTGGTCCAGTGGCAAATGGAAGTTCCACTGTTTTAGCCTCTTTCTCCTATTGAATGATATGAATGTAACGTGTTAATGTGAAACACGGTCTTTTTGGGGTAGTCATTTTCAGGGTACAGATTGATTTTCTTTCTTTACCAGTCTTGAAATCTCAACTTGAAGTCGGAAGGCCTTGTTTGCTATCTCGAGGAAAGCACCATCCATGTCTTCTTTTGTAGTCCGAAGCACATGTAGGGGTAGTTCATCTTCAGCATCAATCAGCTGTAATCGTTTCTCCTCGAGGTCTTTCTGGATTTTTTGTTGTCGCTCTATTTCATTACGGATGCGATAGTCAAAGTAATTTTTCTGCTCTTGGCCCTCTGTTGCCACACGAACCTGAAATAACTGCATGTCCACTCTGTGACAAGCACTTTCAAAAGCATCGAACAATTTCTTGAAGACACCAAGCGAAATATGCAGTGTTGGCAGGATGACCTAAGTATGACAGCAAAAATTAAATGTTTTTAAACAAAAGAGAACAAAAATAACATGCTCTTGAACATTCTGTACAATGTTACCTCCAATAACTTACATGGTCAATAGCAATCGGCATAAGAGGACGGTGAACAATGCTACAAGAAACATCCTTAGCACGATGCTGGTTTCCTCCATCTTGCAGGAAGCGATCGTAGTTGGCTTCAATTGATTCGATTGTACGTGATGGATATGCATCTCTCTCTGTCCAAGACTCATTCATTTGTGCTTTGCTAGCTGTACAGTACAAACAGCAGTGGCGAGTTGGGCAAAATGTAAAAGGCAAACTTTTAGTTAATGCATGTATTTAAAGATTTTCTCATTCTATGGTTTCCGTTCTGCAGACCAGCTGCTGTCAATCTGAGGAAGTGAACCAGCACGTCAAGATGAAATCTTGTTGAGAATATGTATATGTACGTTGAATGAGGTCAGTCAATAAAATATTGTTTGGATTACCAATGCTTCACTCTTCCTTGCTTAAACTTACCATTACATCCACATATGCCATACAACTTGGTCAGTAATTCATAGTCACCGAAGCAGAACAAGCGAATTGACCGCTGTCTAAAGAGTGAAAGATAAGTGGCAAATTCAAACACAAAAATTAGCGACTGTGTATTTACATATTGTTGCGCATGAAGTCAATTTGAAACACACACATTATTTCTCATATTCTAAAATCGAAAAAAGAGCTGTGTGTATGTATGTGCTGTATATTATACTAAACTTTCATTGCACCACAATTTTTATAAAAACTAAAACCAGCTCACTGCCACTTTGCAGATCCCAGTTTTGCAATCTGTTGGAAGGTTGGAGGGAGGACCCGTTGGATGTTCGGCAGGGAGTCTTTCGCCTCAAAGCAGGCAAACACCACAGTGTTTCGAAGGGAGTTTGGGTGCTCAACGTTGACAATTTGGAATGCCATTTTGAAGGAAGAGCCACCCTTATCCCCCCCCCCCCGACTTTTATCCATACTTCATCCTCAGGAATAACTCCCCCATGCCACGTCAGAGTACCATTTCTGTTGGAAGAGACATTGACGAGCCCTGATTAATGCATATTTTATGTTAACTCATCTGTTTTTGGAACAGCTATAGGCTGTCAAAAATTTAAGTGTTTTTCCCCTTCAGATAGCAGACACCAGGTGTCTCTTTGCTGATTTTACTTATAAGGCAAAATCTTTTTCATGCTTGTGCACAGTTATTAACCTCTTACCGTTGGTGTCGATCCAAATAATCCAATACCATCTCTGTGAGGTCTCCAACAAAAGCAAAGGGAACAGGTCTTGTAGAGAGACCGTTTACTCCATCAGCCTTATCACTGGTGAAAAGGAGTTCAGCCGTTTCCCCTTGAAGGTAGTCCTTAAGAAGGTGCTTCTGTTCAGTCCTCAAAGTTCTTTCTGATGGCAGACATTTTGAGTCATTCAGGTACCTGTAAATAAACAACACACTGGAAAAATTGAAATTGTTTCCACTACAACCGAAGTCTGTAAACAGTAAATGATAAGTGTAGGCTTGCCCTCAACACCCCCCCCCAAAAAAAACAAGTCTTCAGGATTGAACATGTGATTTTCACACAATATGCAGTATCACTTATTGGATTGGATTCCCACCACTGTTACATGTATCTCGTACTGTACCTTCTCAATTTCCTAAGCTGAGTCCAAGCCAGTTTGCAGTCTCGCATCATAATGAGGGAAGTTTCTGCTGATAATGGCCGAGTCTTTGTGCCAGCATCAGTGGATTCCATACGATCAGAGGGTACAGTTGACTTCTTTGTGTTACTTGTATATGTGCAGGCTGTTTAAAAGATAGTAAAATTGCATTGGCCAGTTTGATCCATGTTACATGTGAAATATTTAACAGATACATCTCCCTTTGTAATAAGAATGTATTTTAACTAATGAATTGATCTACTGTGTTTAGTATTTATGCAATTAGGTCCTGTGGTTATTTAATTCACTATTTCAATTATCATCAAATTTGCAGTCGTGATGAAGCTTCACTCTTATTGTACATGTACTGGCATGTTTTAAATAACTTAGATTGGTTTTATAATAAAGTTAAAGTTTTATCATGAAATGAAAATCTTACCCGACCACCAGTTGTTATTGCAGTTGCACGATTTAGCTTGAGCCAAGTCCACTTGTCAGCAACATCTTCAACAATTTTCGGTATGGGGTCTCCATGCTTGTGGCAGTTGGTCAGGTCTTTCAGTACTTTTGCAGCTTCAGCAATTTTTTCTGTTTCAGATTCATTCGATTGAATTTGTGCTGCCTTGACGATTGTGAACTTTGGAATAAGTGGATTAATTGGACCGCATGCATGATTGATGACCTCTTCCAATTTTCCAATTTTTTGGCACTTGCTACAAATAACCAGCAGGTTGTCGAGTTGTACTGTCAGTACGAAGGGACTCTTTGTGATTTGTTCGTACTTTGTGTCAGCCTTGCACACTGGACACGGCAAACTTGATATGCCACGCTTGAATGTATGCTGGAAGTATGAAGTCGGGCAGACTGCACAGAAATTGTGCTCACAGGGGGTCTGAACGCATGGTCTGCGCAAAATACATTGGCAGATACAACATATGAAAATGCTCCCCTCTCGCCAAATAACACCCCCATGAGCATTTTGAAATAATGAATGAACGTGCGCGTTCAGCGAACGTCGCATACGCTGAAGGGAACTCTGCTTTAGGGCGTGAGGGTGTGTCTGCCGGGGCAGAAACTCGGAATAAAAATTGACAGTATGCGGCAGTGCTTCTCTGGTCAAATTGATGCACTGCCGTGCTGTTGTGTACAAGCCCCAGGTCGTTGGCGCCAAACTGCAGCATGATGGCGTCAGGTAAGATCAGAACTACTGACCAGGCTTCCAACAGGAAATCGGAGAACTGGAACATCTGGAGTCTTCGCCGTCCCATCCAGTGGATCTAGCCAGCTGACTAAGACGCTCTCCCCAGGGCGATAACCCCGCCACACGAGTATACCAGCACACAAACAGCCGTCCCCAATGACCCACACAGTTGGCTTGGCAGGGCCAATTCCTGCAAGAAAAATGAAAAGAAAATCGGAACAAAACACGACCTAAGTACTTAAGCTAATACAACATGTAGCGTTCCACGAAAAGTAGCTGGGGGAATCTGAATGTAACGTCGGTAAGCCCCGGACTTCCAACGCCCCAAAATTTTAACATCATCCTCAGACACACCTGCAATAGCCGCAGACGTAACTGCCCCTATGCGAAAAGAATGAGAAGTAAATCTGGCGTCGTAAAGCCCTATAAACTCAAGGGCACGACGGAGTACCACGACAAATTGGTAACGCGTGACAGGACGCCCATCGAAATGTGACAAAAACGGGCTATGGGGGATGCGAACAGGCAAGATAGGACAAAGTCGCCCGGACGGGGCACATCATGTGCCGGCTATGCGCTGCTGGGATGGAACCTACATAACCATGGCCATATTGATCTTCTTTCGAGTGACGTAGGATAAGTTCGACCCTTAAAGGGGAGTCTTTAACGGTAACAACGGGCTAGAAAATTGGTGAGATTGGGCAGTAAATTCCCCAAATCGAAGGAACCAAAAAACGCAAATAAGGAAGCTGCTCGGAAAAACTGAGCATCGAAATTACTAACGCAAACGGCCTGCAAGGCTGGGACTATACGACATAAAATATCAGACTACTACGCCTACGACATCCTTCCACTAAACGTTTAACCAGAAAATGCTTAGTTAAATCAGGATAACTTATTAACTGCAAATTGGAGGAAGCCCCCGAGACGTAAGAGGTGATCGTTGTGGGGCATACCCAGATACCGACAAAATGCAATAAATCGAACTATCTGAAGCAGGGAGGGGGAGCGGCGTCGAAACCATGGGTTAGACTAAACCGTTGAAAAAGATGCCAAGCCCTCTCATAAGACAAGTTTGTGCGGGGGCCACCGCGTCATGAAAAAGACTCTGGACCTCTAACTGAAAACACTCCACCGGTTGTCAGGCAAGGGGGTCATATTGCGGTCTGCAGTGGATATTATATGTGAGACATTTCACCACGAGGCGGCGCACCAAATGCAACATAATTGACATTTAGACGTTTGTCTGTTGATGACACTAACTACAGCCTGATTTTTACACCAAAATGTCACACGTTTATTATGCAATTGGACAGCCCACTGCTGGACCGGTAGCACAATAGGGAACAACTCCAAGCAGGCAATATAGAAAGGCGCTGACTTTGTACATGCTTGGGCCACTAACTTCCCTTGACACCAGTGCGCAGCAAAGTAAGACCCAAACCAATTTCAGCAGAAGCATCTGTGTACATGTGCAACTGGTCACTAATGTATCGTACCGAATCTGGAAACATTATCGTTGCGCTGAAATGTGACCAAAACTGCTAAAGTGATGCGAATTTTGTGTTGATGTTTGGAGATACCCGTAGCTAGATCATGCAAACGACGGTGAAAGGCCATACCAGGTCTTACCGCATTACAAACAAAATTGACACGACCTAGCAGGGACTTAAGATTGCGCAGCGTGATTTTCTTCTGATCGAGCACACTAACAATCGTATTTTGTAAAGCAACTTGCTTATCAGTCGGGATTTGAATCTGTCGTGCCAACCGTATCGATCCCTAAACCCAGGAAAGTGAGGTTCGTAGCTGGACCTTCGTTTTTTTTCTTCCGCGATGGGTACCCTGAATCGACAAACTACTCTGAAAGATTGGAGGGAACGTGCGCACTCGTCATGACTAGCACAAACGAACAGGAAATCATCCAAATAATGCACAGTGTTAGGAGATTCGGCCACCTTACGAGTACAGTAATCACAGAAAATACTGAACCGCTCGAAAGTAACACAGGATACAGCACAGCCCATAGGCATGCATTTATCGAAAACAAAAATAAAATTGGCCGTTATGGGGAAGACCAAGCATATCAAAATCGCTTGGATGGACGGGAAGTAAACGATATCCAACTTAGCCATCAGGGCACTGCCTGGTAAACCTGCCATCATAGTTATCGCCTCAATAAAACTAGTCTATGAAACGGTGGTGTCTGCGGGATCAATGAAATCATTCACCGATCTGCCGATAGGGGACGACAAATTATGGATTAACCGAAATTCAGCCAAAGTCTGTTTGGGCACCAGGCCCATAGGTGAACAACGGAAATGAGGAAGAGGCTGGGACAAAAACGGGCCAGCAACGCGACCCAAAGCAACTTCACGATCAATTTTTGACTGCAGAATGTTGGGATGTTTGCGAGCAACCCTGGTACTTGAATAGCCTACCATGAAACCGCGTAAAAACCTTCTTGCAAAATGTGGGAGTCCTGAGTGTTGGGGTAAGCCCGTAAAAAAGGGAGCATACTACTTAGTTTTACTGGGGATGATGCCAGCTGCCAGCACCCGCGCTGTGTCGCGAGACTGTGAGTTTCCCCGACAACGGGTTGCAGGGTGGCCAAATGCCTTGCAGGTGGAGCAGCTATGCGGGAAGCTGCGACACAAGGGGCGATTGCACTGATTGCAAAATCGGACCAGGGGTTGGCGGCAGTGGAGGGGGCACGCTTACGTTGCTGGTACGGACTAAAATTATGCTGGTGCGAAACGGGCTCACCAAGCAGTACCAGCCAAAGTTCGGCATCAATAGTTGCCTAAGAGCGCGACGGCACACACGCCTGACGCAATCGAAACTGGATGTCGTACTCGCGCCAACCATACCCCACATAACGAAATGCTGCAGATCGAATACTGTCTGCGTACTGCAGTAACGAACAAGCGTGGGTAGGATATCGCAACAAATACACAGATCCAAAAACTAGAAACGCTGACGTCCACTGTTCGATAGACATAATACGCGGAGCCTACTTATGCGGACGAATCTGCCAATGTGGGGACTCATTGGACCCGATTGTAAAACGCATCTCGTCAAAGGAATTATCCAAGCTCGTGCCGCGCGACGACTTCAACAAGGTTCCGAATGCTACGTTCTCCCCCCTCCAAATTTTGTCTTTTAGATGTTGAGGAATCACGGCCCCGAGATCGTCACAGACGATTGTTAAAGCCATATTCGCATTTCAACTTGTTTTTCAACTCAAACGTAGTTTAGAAAATAGTCTTCTCCACTCCTGCACCCTCCTTCAGCTATGGCCACATTCCTAGGTGACTATATTGTATTCATTGTCAATGTGTCATTGGTATTAATGTAGTATTCATTATACTGTTTTGAAGAGGAGAGTTCCAAGAATACTGAATCAGAGGTATGTGTGACTGTTTTACTATGTGATCTAATTTCTTGGGATTATTAGTCTGTTTGGACTACTTTGTTATGCACGTACTGATGATACGTGCACATGTATGTAACAGGAAAAAGTATATAGTGTTATATTGATATTGTAGCGAGCACGGCTTGAAATGCGCTGCGTGCGTGATCACCCCTTGTTTACCGCGGGTTGCCATGCAACTGGCGCGCGAACTGGTCGTGGTGCGGCGCGAAATAAGCTGCGTGAAACACTCTCTGGCTGGCTCTCAACGAAGCAAGATTGCTCTCACGTCCGTGTCCGACCTACACCGCCGCCCCCAAATTGGCTGAGAAAGTTGTAAGTTCCCAAGAAACAGAGACGCAATAAATCATTCAAACCCGTAGAATTGTGTGTTGGTAATTATTTCTTCAGTTATACGTGCCATCTCTGTCCTGTCCTGTCTGTCTACAATCTGCACCGTACCTAATCCAGTGAAACCTTAGGCCGCGTCGAGCGCGTTACACTGGCGGCAGCGGCGGGATTGTGTCCCCATGTTCTTGCATGATTGACAGAATTTACCTGAAAAATTACCTCGGAAAGCAGCAGTGGTGTTTACCGAGCCGTGGTAGGGAACAACGGGTGGCCTTTGAGCGGAAGACGGCAGTGGAGTTACCGAGCCGTGACGACGTACATGTACCTTGGGTTGCTTGTCCAGTAAAACGCGGTAGTGGTGCATACCGAACTGCTGTGTGTACATGTGTGTGTGTGGCTTAGGAGTCACACGTTGGACCACGCTAACTGCCCGGAACCAACTAACCGGAGCTGACCGCCCGGAGCCCGACCGTCCGGAGCCGACCGCCCGGAGTTGACCAACTGGAGCCAACCGCCCGGTTTGCCTTTTTTTAGCCGGATTAAAGCCCAATAGTCATAATGCAAAATACACGGGTTGAAGATTCAACCATGTTAAGGACGAAGTGATCCTGAGTAAACAAGAAGGGAACCCCCGACTGGTAACAAAACAGACCCCCAAATACAACACGTGGCAGGACTCGGGTGTGGGTATTGCGGGAAGTTTGGGCGTAACTGGAGAACCTCTGTTTTTCGAAAACAGAAGCAGAGGGTGGCAGGCGATGGGGGCCAGCTGGGTTGGTCCAATCGGGGCACCAGGAAATGTTGAAAGCCTGCAAGCGACTGTTGGGTCCACTCTCACTTCCTCTGCGAACCAGTTAAACCCCAAGGAAAATAGGCCCTCAGTTTGCAGGACAAATGAGGACAGAGCGAGTTCTATTGACCAGGCCAGTGGCTTGCCACGGGTAGAGGTGGTGGGTCGGAACCCACGTGGATGGTCAAAGGAAGTTCCTTTTGCGACCCCTCCTACAGAAACTTTCTGGCCTGGACAGAACCTGAATGGGAGAAATTTTGACCTGCCGGCGACACTACCCGACCAGCCCAGCACATTCGACAATTGGCAGAGGAACTGTGAAGACGGAGAGACTGATTTGCCTCAGATCCAAGGTTACACGCCACCAGTCGACACAAAAGGCACTATCCGCCCACCAATTAGCCAAACGCTAGGATTATCGCCCATCATGTCAGCAGCCCCTGGCCACACTAGGGACCAAGAGAAGACAACTGGACAAACCAAACCCCCGGTACTATCAACCCCTAAAAGTGAAAAGGCGACGGGGGAGGTTAAGCTGGAAAAGAGCCACTCGGCAAAGGAAAGACCAATCATCAAACCGGACCGCTACGATGGTAAGACACCATGGAAGCCTTACCTTAAGCACTTTGAGATGTGTGCTGCAATAAACGGATGGGACGACAAGGCAAAATGCCAGTACCTTGCTGTGCTGTTAACAGGGTCAGCACTGCAGACTGAGTAGTCTGCAGGCTGAAGCAAAGGATTACAAGCGGCTTGTGAAGTCTTTGGAGTCCCGGTTTAACCCCTTAGGCAGGAAGGAACTTCACCGAGCGCAGCTCCGGAATCGACGACGGAAACCATAAGAAAGCCTGGCGGAGATGGCAGAGGAAGTTTGACAGCTCGTGGAGAAAGTTTACGCCGACTTACCGGAGGATAGCCGCGACAGAATGGGACGAGACCACTTTCTGGATGCGCTCCTCGACAGTGAAGTACGCACGAGAATCATCCAGATGAGAACCAGTTCGCTTGATGAAGCCGTGGCAGCTGCTGTGGAACTGGAGGCACTGTACAAGGCCGAGAAGGAACGTCGATCTGCAGATGTTAGAAAGGTCAGAAGTGCCACTGTAGAAGCAGTTCAGGCTGAAAAACCAACCAGCGAAGCCAATGCTGCAGCAACGGATATACAGCGACAACTCACAGATATCATGGAACAACTGAAGAAACTAGGAAAACAAGTAGACGACACCAAGAAGGCCGCTTGGAACAAAGGAAATCTGCTAAGAAGGGCGTCCAATGCTTCTGGTGCCAGCAGTTTGGTCATATTAAAGCAAAATGCCCAGAATCAGGAACAAAGGGAGCTCAGGAGAACGGGCAAGGACAAACAGCAAAGGACAATAAGGGGGCATCTGGCAAACCACAGAGCCAGGAAAACCAGTAGGAGCTGTTCCTGAGGGCCAAGGGACAGCAGAAAAAGAGGGGCCCAATTTTGAAATGCAAGCTGAGAACGTTGCTGCTGTGGTCGGGAAAGGACTGCACTTAGATGTTTTTGTTAATAAAGTTAGTGTCGACGCACTGGTGGACACGGGGGCTACAGTGTCTCTCTTGTCAGACAAGATTGTCCGGAAATGGTCTGAGGAGAATCAAGCCATGCTGACAGCCACTGATATTAAGGTTCAGCTGGCGGATGGCAAGTCTTGCCCTATTGCTGGCGAAGTAGAAGCTGAGTTACAGTTGGCAGGAAACTGTGTAAAACATCGGTTCATTGTAGCTTCGCTTGGAAGTGATGTGCTACTGGGATTGGACTTCATGAAAAATGAGCAATGTGTGATAGATATGCTGCCTCTAAGGGAGACGGCTGACAGACAGCAATGTGTGATAGATGTCACAAACAGATGTCTCGAGTAGGGAGGAATTATGCTGCCTCTAAGGGAGACGGCTGACAGACAGCAAACCTGTCGGGTGACTGTTTTGGAAACAGTCGTAGTGCCTCATGGGACAGTAATGCTTGTTGCGGGAAGTCTTGAATGTAGTGGCATAACTGTTTCCTGCGGGATAGTTGAAGCATCTGAAACACTTGCCAACAAGAGTAACGTAATGGTAGCACCAATAGTAGTGAGCACTGATACCGATGCCATACCCCTCCGCCTGCTCAATCCGGGAAGGGAACGAGTAGTCCTTTATAAAGGAACCACAGCAGCCACGTTCAATGTAATAGAAGCTATTGGCCCCTCTCTCACCACAGAAGACAGCCCCTTAGAACAAGCGGGAGCTGTTAGAACGGCTGTCCAGGGGGAGAATGAAACTCTAGAATGCTCGAACAACTCCACTGTGCCCGAACACCTGCAAGGCCGGTCCTCCAAGCTACTCAGCCAGCAGGAAAGTCACCAGTTGAAGGGTCTCCTTTTAAAATTTCCGGACCAGTTTGCTAAACATGAAGGCGACCTCGGGCAGACCGACCTAGCTAGACACCGGATAGAGACCAGGAATGCAGCTCCCATAAAACAAAGACCGAGGCGCTTACCAATTCATCAGAAAGAAGTTGCCGATACTGAGATAGAATCCATGTTGAAAAGGGGAATCATCACACCTGCTACGGGGCCTTGGGCCACACCCGTTGTCCTGGTCCGGAAAAAGAATGGGAAGATGCTGTTCTGCGTCGATTACCGGCGGCTGAACGCCATAACAAGGAAGGACGCATATCCCCTTCCTCGCATAGATGAGATAATCGACATGTTGTCTGGGTCCAGGTTCTTCTCTACTTTTGATCTTGCCTCGGGATATTGGCAGGATATTGGCAGGTGCCAATGGACCCTGACCATAAAGAAAAAACGGCCTTTTTCCACCCCCAGCGGTTTGTATCAGTTCGAAGTTATGCCCTTCGGACTGTGCAATGCGCCTTCCACATTCGAGCGTGTAATGGACCGTGTGCTCCAAGGTTTGCAGTGGCAAATGTGCCTCGTGTACCTGGATGACATAAGTGTCTACAGCAGATCATTTCAGGAACACATGGAGCGCCTAGAGCTGATACTGACAAGAATAAGGGAGGCTGGACTCAAGTTTCAACCTAAGAAGTGCCAACTGTTTCAGACAGAGGTCTCATACCTTGGGCACATTGTCTCAGCTGACGGGGTGATGACAGACCCAGCCAAGATCCAGCAAGTGAAAGACTGGCCTGTTCTGACATCAGTTCGGGAGGTGCGCAGCTTCTTGGGACTAGCGTCTTATTATAGGCGTTTTGTGCCGGGGTTTGCCGAGTTGGCAAGGCCCTTACATAAGCTCACCGAGGCTGGAAGGCCATTCCACACGGCCGTCGCAAGGAAAGAAAAAGTGTGCGCCCTCAGTGTCTGCGCTTTGTCCAGTGAAAAATTGCGCTAACTGCGCGAGCGACTAGGCTAGTCTATGTTTACGTTCGGAAATTTTAATTTCTCATTTGCATATCTTTGTATCACCTTAATTTTTACCCTTTATTGAAATATTTGTAAAAGTATAAAATATTTAATTCTTAATTTGGACCTCAAAAACCGAGTTTTTGTCATTAGACGGGATTATTTTTGCCTAAAGCTAAATTTTGATTCGTCGGGAAATGTGTGGACTGTGGTCGAGGAGCGTCGTATTCAGCCAACCCAGAGAGTAATGATCGCTCCGAAAAAATGAGTTTTTTCTTGAAAACCAGAGTTCTCTTTCATAAAATCACAAGGCATCCGTATGAAGAAGATGTATTGAAGTACGATCAGAATGAAAGAAGGTAAAAGACAGCGGGCTGTTTTGTGATATTTTCGATTGTATTTTGCCTTTTTCAGCACATCCTGGAAAAATCTCATGCACGTGCGCGTGCACAAACACGTGCATGTACATGTACATTACAATGTACACCTTATACACAGTACATACGAGTATACATGTATACAGTACATGTACATGTACGTGCATTACAAATGAATTTTTTACGCACGTGCAACCACACATACATGTATTCTAAATCATTAAATGTTACAATAATTAATACGTGTGCTTTAGTAAATAGTAGGCCTACAAGTAATTACTAGGCCACATGGATATTGAATGTGAGGACCACAAATCTTCTGGTTTGTATTTCGATGCTAATAATATATTCCTTCTGTTTATCTTCAAAGTTCCTACACATGTACAACTGATGTATAGCACTGTAGGCCTACTCTGCTATAAGACAGATCCCGGATCCACTTCCATGGCATTATCCCTATCAACCATAAACAAAGGACTGGACAAACAGAAAGTAATCCACAGGTGGGTTCTGAATATATCGTCAAAATTGTGCAGAATTACTCCTACCTGAAAAGCACATTACAAAGTATGTATGAATGAACATGGTCTATATGTGATTTCCCATCACACAAGTATGTGAACAACTGCGATACTCTCGTTGACATATGCCAATATCAAGGGACTGGGTTGTACGTATACATGTAAGTGAGAAATCCTATTACATCATGTTCACTACTCTTCTACTTTTTGTCGTTTTGCAGGTGTGAACACTTTTGTCTGTACTTCTGGGGTGGTTGACAAGTGATGCCGTTGCATTGTTGTCATCAGACGCTTCAAGTCGTCCCGCATCCCTTGTACAACACGACCTGTTCTATTGNAATTCAGTGTGGATTAACTCCCCTCCTTGCTCGTTGAGGAGACCAAAGCCAACGCCAAACCTGGACAACTGCTCGACAGCATGATTCTCCAGCAAGTGCATCTTGGGAGTGATGCTGCATTCAGGGAAGCTCTCTCCGTAGGAGGTCATGAAAACCTTGATGCATGTGTCTGCAAACAAAAAAAGTGTGAATCTGGACTAAACTTAAAAATTGATGCTTTATTTGAGTGAGTGAAAAAGAATGTTGAATAATTACCAACTCTCTTTAATTCATCTGGTGATAAAGCCCTTGCATGGTTTATCGCATGGTGTGTGTCAGCAAATTTGAGGAAAATATCCTCAAACTTGGACCCCATCGAAGCGGCTTCACGAAGGAACTCTTGCTGACATTTCAGTGGAATATCATCGTAGGACATATTCTGAAGAATTCTTCGTGGTTCACTTGTGAGATGACTTGAGGCTGTTCAAAATCAATGATGAAAGGTTGCAATTTTTAACGTACATGTATCAATAAAAAAGCATATTGGAAATTTAATTATCTGTGAAATACTTTTTTTTAGTTTACCTGACAACACTTGTGCACGTGATTACCAACGAAGGCTTTGCCATGGTATGCCTACCGTTCGACGTGATGCCTCTTCAGTACTGCATCAAGGCTGCCAGCAACTGGACCAGCACCGATTGGTAGGTTTGTTTTTTCATTGCTCTGTGACAATCATGGAAAGTACTTGTAAATTTAAGCCTAAAGATCATCATGAAATTTAGTGTTACATATTGTCATAGCTTAAGTGAATGATAAAATTTATTGTGAGATTAACATGTACATGTATGCACAAAATTCTCACCAGTTGCCTTAGCTCGTTGCGAAGATTGAAAGCCCTGTTAGCCGTTTGCTGAAACTTTCGATCAGCATTCTTTAGATTGCGTTGGAGGAGGTGAAGGGGCAGCTCTTCTTCAATCTGCTCGAGTTCAGCTTGCTTATTAGTTTTCTCTTGAGCAAGCTGTTTTTGACGGTTGAACTCCTTTGCAACTTTCTGGTCAAAGTTTGTGGTGCCTGTACTTTCTTCCACCTTCTCTTCATCTGCATGCCTGACTAACAATTCAAATATCTTCAAATCGAGCATGTGGCATCTTGCTTCATATATGTCGAAGAGCTTCTTAAAAATCCAAGGGATATATGAAGACTAGGGAGAACCACCTGTACAATATAATTAATAAGAAACAAACAATTTATAATACAAATAAACAGGAAATCATTTGAAGATGCATTTATATATTCTGTAAATTTAAGATTATCAAATTGTGCATGTTTGCCCACATGTACATTACATGTCCATTTTATTACACAGTGAGTTTAACGTACATGGTCAATTTCAATATTGAAACATCCTTGGACCTGGCTTTTATTGAGCCATCTGCTTCATATGCCATGTAGGATTCCAAAATGGACTGTAGGGTTCGTGGGGCTGCTGCTACCCACTCAGTGACTGGGAGTTGCATGTTGTCCTTGGATGTTGTGCAGTAGAGACAGCAATACCTAGCTGTAGATATAGAACAAGTATTAACCAGAATGAGTGCAGTATAGTGAAAACAACAAATGTAAAATTGTACATTTTAAAATTAGTCAACAGTGGGTTTTTTTACCATTGCAGCTACATATTCCATACATCTTGGTCAACAGCTCGTAGTCGCCAAAGATGAAAAGGCGGAGTTTTTTGTCTCTGTTAAGAAGGAAGAGGCAAGAAAGGGGCACAAAGTAAGTCTTAAAATGTATAAATGTAATGCAATTAAACACAAATCCTCAAACGATCCACGTTTCATAATAATAGAGATTTCTTAATTTTGATTTTACCTCCACTTCTGGCCAATAAGTTGGGACACTTGCTCCAGGACTGGTGGCAAAGTTGTCTGAAGGTTTATGATGGAGTCATCACCCTCAAAACAAGCAAACACAACAGTGTTCTGCAAAGAATTGGGATGATGTGTGTTCACTATTTGGAAGGACATCTTGAAGGATTTACCTCCCTTGTCTCCTCCTATTTTGATCCATACTTCAGTCTTTGGGAGTACACCATTGTGCCAGGTTAGAGACCCACACCTGTAAAAGAATAGTTATGTAAAGTTGTCATGTCACATAGCAATGGATAAAATTCTCTAGGGAGAGCATTGTTCACAATCTCAGTATTAAATAAAAACTCACCTTTCATGTCTTTCCAGGTAATCCATAACCTGGTAGCTAAGATTCTTGACGTGGACAAAGGGAACATCTCGTGACTCTACACCATTGCATCCACAGGCCTTATCAGAATGGAAGACCAGTGGAATAAGACTTCCTGTGAGGTTATCGTTGAGGAGCACATTTTGTCGCTTTCGCATAGATGAAAACGTAACCCCCATGCTGCCAAGGTACCTGCCGAGGGACAAATTCCTTGTACAATAAAAATATATATTTTTAAATTTGTAGTGTTGCATGAAGCACAGTGTGCAATCATATACAAATACATGCACTTTATAGATGTACTGTACTTGTTTATGTGTACCATTGTGAAGATTTACTAGAACATGTATATGTCCATTTTTGTGGTAGTTTTTCCTGTACATGTACATGTGAATTTGATGTACATGTATAATTCAGATGTTACTACATGTATACACATACTTGACATATACATTTAATATTCCCAAAACATGCATGCATGCACATGTATGCGGATTTGTTATTGCCTGTGCATTTATGCATGATAGCCCCCTCAAAATGATGTATGGATAGTACATGTATGCTACATGTATGTCTATTTCAGAAATCAGTGCTTAGCAAGTGTAGATGGACGAGTTACTACCAGAGCTTCTTAAGCATGTATTTGTAACAAACCTCTTAATCTTACGAAGTTGCTCCCATGCTAGCTGGCAGTCTCTCATCATAGCAATTGAAGTGTCAAGGTCGGTGATTCCGCTCTGAGATGGGTTGGTTGCTGGTGTACTTTGAGGGACTTTATGTGATCTGTTTGGAATTTTCTGCACATAGGTTGGCTGTGTAAAGTTAAAGAATTGTTAAAAAAATAACATTTACAGAAGACTAGCATTTATTGTAGCGTATGAGAAAGTATTATATGGCATTACTGATGATAAACCAATGTTGCTTTAGTTTGTTTCTTGGGCTTGCACATGTATGTAGTGTACTTAATCATTCTAAATACCTGTGTAATATTGTACTATTTTTTAACGTACAGTACGTAACATGTTAACGTAAGATGTAGAAGAAAAAAGATTGTCCTGCCCATTCTGTTATTTTTTGTTAAGTCTTGAATTTAAATTATTTTATTTTGATCTTTATTTCTGATAACATGAAAGCTGTGCGGTAATCCTATTTCAGTGTTTACTTTGTGTG